TTTTTATTAAAACTTTTTGCTTGTTGGATTGAACAAACAAACGATGGTCATTATTGATAAATTGAATATTGCTCATTTCCTGGTTAAAAATTTAACCAACAGACTCTCTAAAATTTTACTATTATAATTTTAATGTAATGAAAAATGCTGAAATGATCAATTTAATTAAATCCATTCTAAATTAAGTTTTAGATGATCAAGAATAGAGGCATAATGTATTGAGATTTAAAACCTGAAAATTTTTTGTGACTATTGATATAAAAGGTGATTTACACTACTCAACCAAAGTAAGGTTGATAATTTTAAGATTTTAGAGCATGGCAATAAAAGCTAAATGGCAATCTGACATAAAAAGCACTAAAATATATGTATTTGAATTGAATTATTCTGATTAAGAGAATAATAAATTTGCAGAATTTTCAAGAGATAATTCGAGGAAAAAAAATAGATTTCCAATAAATTTATAACTTAAAATTAAATTATTTATAAAAATGTATCGAATTGTAGAAGTAATACATCTTGATTGTAGAAATTCAAGAAGACAATTGACTTTAACTGTAAATAAAACAGTATTAATTGATTCAGCAATTCATTAGCTATTTAAAGATAAATGAAAAAATTTTAGTAATAATTGTAGGAAGGATGCTTTTTATAAATAATTAATAAACAATATTTACAATTATTTTATGTTAAAAATAATATTTTCTAAATTCGCTAATTTACTATATTTTGTAGGATTGCATTCTAAACTGGTGAAATTAATTTCTATACAATTATAATCAATATTTAACAGTTTGGAGAGTTAAATTCCCTAAACTGAGATGTTATGATAATTAAATAATATATATTGTATTTTAACCAATATATATTAATTCATATTAAGAGAGATAAAAATAGGTATATTTAATTAAAATTATAATTTATTTTTATTTAAATAATAAATTTATTATAAATCTATATCATTATTTCAATTAAGATATATTCAATAAAATTATATTTTTTTGTTCTTTAAATTATATTGATTTAATAATATGACTATTCTTCAGAGACTTAAGAAAGAACAAGAAAAGATCTAAAAAAGAGGATGAACGATAATAAGGGGATCATAGATTTTATCAAATTTTTATTTCTCCTTACAAGCATAGATAGAAAATTTATATAAAGTGGGTTGTATGGATTATAGTTAATAGTAGAAATGAAGTTAGATATCAGGACCCAATGCTTTGAGAATATCAAGATCAAGTATACATCTTTAATTGGAGAAAACCTTTTTAAGTGCATTGGAATGGACTACTTTAGCATCATGTAGTGAGGATGGCTTAATTCGTTTATGGGATGTTAAGACAGGAAAATAAAAAGCCTAACTAGATGACCATAATAATGGATACTAACAGTATGCTTTCTCCTGATNGAAAATTTGATCTGTTAAGGATGTAATTAACTATCAGCAATCTTATAGCCATAATCAGTAATTATTTATAAAATATAATTAATATAAATATAATTTATCTTATGAGGTGATAAAATATACCTATTTTATCACCTCTGATATATTTTAAAAAGCATTACCTAATATATTGGTGAAAATAATTTTTCCAATTTTCATATTATTTTCACTAATTTAAATTTTCTAAATGAATATTTTGTTTTAAATCAGTTATTAATTAATAAATAATTAATAAAAATAATATTTTCTAAATTCGCTAATTTACTATATTTTGTAGGATTGCATTCTAAACTGGTGAAATTAATTTCTATACAATTATAATCAATATTTAACAGTTTGGAGAGTTAAATTCCCTAAACTGAGATGTTATGATAATTAAATAATATATATTGTATTTTAACCAATATATATTAATTCATATTAAGAGAGATAAAAATAGGTATATTTAATTAAAATTATAATTTATTTTTATTTAAATAATAAATTTATTATAAATCTATATCATTATTTCAATTAAGATATATTCAATAAAATTATATTTTTTTGTTCTTTAAATTATATTGATTTAATAATATGACTATTCTTCAGAGACTTAAGAAAGAACAAGAAAAGATCTAAAAAAGAGGATGAACGATAATAAGGGGATCATAGATTTTATCAAATTTTTATTTCTCCTTACAAGCATAGATAGAAAATTTATATAAAGTGGGTTGTATGGATTATAGTTAATAGTAGAAATGAAGTTAGATATCAGGACCCAATGCTTTGAGAATATCAAGATCAAGTATACATCTTTAATTGGAGAAAACCTTTTTAAGTGCATTGGAATGGACTACTTTAGCATCATGTAGTGAGGATGGCTTAATTCGTTTATGGGATGTTAAGACAGGAAAATAAAAAGCCTAACTAGATGACCATAATAATGGATACTAACAGTATGCTTTCTCCTGATAGTACTAAATAGCATCTGGCAGTAGTAATAAATCTATCAGCTTATTGGATGTTAAGGACATTTTCTCTTAGTATTAATCCCAGCTATTGTAAAACTGATCGTTTGATTTTTAACAGGATTGTGATAGTTTTGAGACAAATTTAATTAACTCTTATAAAACTATACTACTTATATCACAGCAGCAGCCATGTCTTAAAACGTAAGAAACAGAAATAAATAGTGGAGAGTTTGTAATTTATTAAGGGCTAGATTTCCTTAAGTTATTTAAAACTAAAGGATGTTGCATTTTACAAAGCTAACCATGATTAAATCAAAAGTGAAATTGATTTTATAATGAACTAATATCATAATTCAATCTTTCGTTCTGCTTTTTATATTATATTTAGCAATTCTGATTTGAATTTATTTCTCAGTCAGTGCCCAATAATTGTTCATTAATTTATAAAAATCTATTAAATGAGAAAATAATTGATTGTTATGCAAATTTAGTAAAAAAAATTTATTTTTAATTTCTGAATTAATATAAGAAAATTAGAAAATTTTGATTCAAAAATTAAATAAAATTTATTAACTTTTTCTACATTTTTAATAATTAGCCTTTGTTATAAAAGCTAATGTATATCTATTACGTGAGAAACTAACTAATGAAGCTGGCTAATTATGGCCATCTAATTAATATATATATTTATTTAATAATTTTTCCAATTATAATCAAACAATAAAGCTCAATGTGAATTAATTCCATTGATTTCAATATTACCTCCAAATATAAAAGTAGTTTTAACTTTAATATTTTCAAAATTTTAGTTTGTTAGATTGATCAATTTCTTAAAAAATTATTACCTATCTTAGTCAGATTAACCAAGAATTTCTAAAATTCTATAATCCTAACATCTTGCTATATTTTTTACATGATTTAAAAATTTTTTCATGTTAAATTTTAGTGGAGTAACTATAATTATTAAAATCAGATTATTTGATAATTTTGAGCATTTGAATTAATATGATTTTCTATTTTTTTAGTCTAGCAATCACCTGTATGATCACACATTTAGGATAATTTTGAGTAGTTTATCGGAATGTAAAAATTATAAACTAAAGTATTTGGTTGACAATATTTCGATTATAATATTCAATACCGGTATATCAAAATCTTTTGATTAAATTAATACTGCAACTAAGAATTTATATGTTTATGGAAAAATTAAAAGTTGACCCTTTTATATTAGACAAGTGATATAAACTGAAATTAATCATCATCTTTCAAAAAATTCATTTAGGAATTTTCTTATCGTTTATCTTAATATCATAATCCTTATTGTTAATAATAAACTTAAGTCAATTCTTTCTTGCTTATTGTTTTTGTTAGTTTAGTTCAGTATTGTTTCTAATCTTGTAGAAAATTAACAATATAGCAAAATTTGAAGCCAATTTCTTTAATTAAATAAAATAAAATTAAACACAGCTTTCTCAAAAGGTATGCAAGTTTATCCTAAAACTATTATGCAATGGTTAAATTTATTGTTCTAAATTAAAATTCCTTAAATGAAATGAGTTATCCCAATTACCTGATGATAATATATTACCAGAAGAGAAGTAAACTTACCTGACAGACCTTGTATGGTCATCCAATCTCAATTTTTATTTTCTTGTCTTTATATCCCATCGGATTCTGATCTGACCTAACTAATAAGACCATAAAATTTATATAATTCTAAGATTCCTTGATATTTACTGATTCAGATTCATTGAAATTGCATCTTGCTAAATTTGCTCCAACAAATAACATATTATTTATTTTAATATCATCAAAAGATGATTTATTTAAATCAAACTTCAATACATCTAATAAATAATATGCATTTGATCCACATTAGATGAATTTGGTATCTAAGGAAGCTTCAATGCTTTTTTGAAAATCAATTCCAAATGATTATTGCTAGATATTTTTAGAAAATAACAAAATCTAAGAAATTTGAAATCATTATTAAATATTTTATTTTATTTTTGAAATATTCAAAATCCATTAGTTTGTCTCATTAAACTAGACACAATCATAAATAATTGTACCTTTTTTATCTGATTATTGACAGAAAATAAGAATTAAAAAATTAGGCTAATCTCATTAAATTTTTATTTACAATATAAGGGATGGAATCTTAGGTTAAATGTTATAGGTTCAAATTTTTCAAAAGCTTATGATGATGATATTAAACAAATTCGGAATGATGAGACTAAATTATGTTATTTTTCGATATGATTTTTAACAAAAAAAAAACAATGAGTGAAGGCGACCATCCTAACTCCAGTTCATTGTTAAAGTAAGATTCCAACTTGAACTAAATTAGATAGAAGTTGTAGCCTATTTATAAATTATAGATCTGAATACAAATTTTTGTGACCAAAAAATAAAAATTTTGAGTTAAATTTTTATCATCTTTTGTGATTTGTGTTTGATCTCAATAAATGAAATAATTGTTGAAAAAAATCAATCATCATCAAAAATATTAGATAGAAAAATTGTCTTAACTTTTTAATTTGTGATGCAGAAGAAGGAAAAAAATTAAAATTTGGGTGTCAATGATTATTACAAGAATCTAGATGCAGATATTATTACTCAATACTTTAGAAAATTTGGAGTTGAACAAATAAACTTCCAACCATTTCTAAATGTCCTCAAGAAATAGTAAGTATTTAAAATAGCCAAACTGGCTAATTTTAGATACTTACTATTTCTTGAGGACTATGATAACTGCCTTTCGTTCACTTCTTGAAGCAGGATACTAAAGAGGAACTTTTCCATAAAAACTAGATTATAATTTTGAACATCCTAAGTAATCCCTCATCGACTAATATCTCTGCCTGAGATTAAGAAAGACCTGAATTTTATGATTCTTATTTAGATGTTCACGAGTTCTCTTGAAATTAAGGTCTTTTGGCAAAATGATTTAGAAGTTGAGAGATTATTATATATTTCAAAAAATTCGTGACAAGGAAAAAATATTTGTGAGAATTGCCTATGAAGAGAAGATATAGATACAAATTAACCATGGAATGCTCCCTGATAATTAACCTCTGAATTGTAAGAGGAAATACTTCAATTTTAAGAAATTAAAATTAAATAATAACAATAGAATTTATCCATAGACAGAATTAAGAAAAAGATTAAGACTAAATAGTTTGGAAATAGGGACAGAAGAGATCCCTCCAGTAGAAAGAATGATTATTAAAATTAAATTAAATTATACAACTTTTATAAAGAGTATTTTTTATTATTATTCATAAATGAGAATATCATTTTAAGAAATCAATCGAAGATTTGATATAGAATGATTGAAAATCAATCTTATTTTATATTCTTAACATAGTTTCAAGTTTTCTCTTACTTCTTGATATGAAATCTGTCTATCACTTGTTGCAAAATTTGCTTCCTGTCTAAGAGAAAGGTATAAAACCTAATTTATCTTTCTTTTGCCTGTCACTTAGGTTACATTTTCAACTTCTAGAACTTCAGATTTTTTGGAATGAGCTTCTTAAAATCATCTTCCCTAACTAACCAGGTTCAGATGTTGAAAGCACAAAATTCTTTCTATTTATTCATCCAAGGAATTCTTTTAAGCCGAGGTTTGAAAAACAAATGCATTTCAAATCAAATCGAATTTATGGTTTGATTTTCATACTTAACTCAGTCATGTGTTTGAAGGGTAAAATTCTAATTAAGTTCAAGAAAAGTATTATTGATTTTATTTGTTTTTTGTGTCAGTTATATTTACTCTTGGTCTCTCAATACCAAGGTTTTCAATTGCTTTTTAGAGTTTGAAAGTATTGAGATTTTTTTTAATTCAGCTCTGAATAAAATATCAATTCAAAATCTAAAAAGTATTCAGAATCCCAAAAAGGCATTATCAAAAGATGAAATTATAACTTCATCAGTGTATGCAAAGATACTTGTTGCATTTAATAATTTTAAAGTATACCTGTAATTTTTATGTTATCATTATATCCAAATTATAGATTAATTAGTCGAAGAACAAATATAACTTTATTCATAAATCCATTAAAAAGCATAATAATATTCAAACAAGTTGATTTAAAATTTATTTTCAAATCACCAAGAGATTAACTTAATTAAAAGGAACTATAACAAAAACATTTTAGGAACAGAATAATCCTCAAATTTAATACCAAAAGATCATAATTAAAAATAAACTTTAATTAAAGAATGACGAAAGAATCATTAATTAATTTAATGTCTTAAATTATAATATTAAATAATAGAACTATTATATAGATCCACTTTTCCATAATTTCATCCTTGGTTATATTACATATTGATAAAACAATGGTGTTCATTCAATCCATACAACCCATCTAAAATTGCTGAAAATCAACTTTATTAAATTATCCATCAACTTAAACTTTAATGATAATACTTTAATAAAGAAATGGATAAAACTGTTATTATAATTATTTTCAGGGTAATCCAATAATTAATTTATAAGGTTGCCTATATTCGGAGAATCAAAATATTAATTTTAGCTATACATGATTTCAATTTAATTTAAATATTGTTTGAAATATTAAGTTAGAATTAATTGTTAAATCTAATATTAAACATTTTCAATTTTAAATAACAGTAAATTATTAATCTTAATCTTATTCTAATTATATTAAATTATTTTAGAAATTAACTAAATAAATATCAAAAATTAAATAATGAATTTCTATATTATGTGTAAAAAAATTCATCTATTGAAAGAAACACTATTATATTTGAGACAATTTAAAATCTTTATTCAATTTGTGATTTAGAAGAAAAGCTGCTTATTTTTTAAATATTAAAAATAAGAATGTAAAAGTTTAATTTTACATATAATTGTTTTAAAATTGATTATTTTAATGAAAATATTATGATTGATTTCTTGGTGGAATAAATGGTTAGATTGAATAAAAGCAATACTTAGATTTAATAAAATAGGAAATTTTAAAGTATTAAAAGAAAACAATTGAAATTATACTTTGAAGTAATCAACAGAAAGTTTTTTCGAAAATTGAAGTCCCAATCCTAATGCTTTGCATTAAAAAAGGGTTGATGAGCTGAGAATCTATTTTCAGAAAGTATTCATGATTAAAGTGATAGATGTTCATGTTAAAATAAAAGAGAATTATTTAGTAGTAGTAAAAATGTATGGATATTAGAAATGATGATTATAGTTTAAGTGAAAGTTATTGTTAAATGAAGTTTAGAGAGAATAAAAAAGAAATTTATGAAATACAGGAAATTTCCATCCAGTTGAGTTTTCAGAAGAAAAGTATTGAATCAGATGGGAGTGTAAAAAATTTGTTGAAGAAGATATAGTAATTAGGAAATATACAGTAGTACATATAAAAAAGAGAGATAAGTATAAATATTTGATATGGAATTTTTATGAGAATTGGTAGAACACTAAAGTCTTAATATTTTTTGCTTTGGAAATATGAATCTGTATTATAGGAGAACAATGAATAGACTCTGTTTGTGGACTGATAGGAAATCTTGAAGTATTTTATATGAGTGGGTGAAATTTATAATATTTATTTGATATCAAAGGCTAAATAAATATTAATAAAATGAATAAAATTTTGAATACTATTGATAAAATAGACATTTTTGGAGTTCCTATTAATCTTCTTACTAACGAAAAGAATTCAGCTTTTCAGAGTAAGATAGGAGGGTTATTTAGTTTAATTGCAGGAAGCCTAAGTCTTACATATTTTTTATATGTTTTTATATTTTGGGTGAGCAATTTAATCCCTCCAAATATAAGTTCTAACTAAGAGACAATAGGATATGCTTAATTCTAAATTTAAACTGGAATGATTGATTTGATGCTACAAGATTTCACTGGAGATGCAGATCCCTTCAGAAAATACAATAATATTATCACTCCTCATTTATATACGGTTATTGATACTAGAATAATAGATAAACCTATACCTTTATTTAGTAGTTAAGAAAAACCTTATACAATTTCTTTTGAGAATGTCACTTTAGTTTTAAATCATGAAATCGATCCAGATTAGTACTTGAAGGTTGCTCTAATATTACTTTGTAAGATAATGGATATTGTGCTGATTAGAAAACAATTGACGATTATCTATAAAAATTTCATGGGTTTTTGTTTTTAAGTATTAAATTAAATCAACTTAACCATGTAACAAGAGAATTAGAAGAATTCAATAAGCAATATTATTAGGCTTTTGATATGCTTAAGCCATAATACTCATAAGTTATGTTGAAATAGTAAGAGACAATCATTGATGATGGTGTTTTATTTAATAATTATCAAAATTATTAGTTCTTAAACAATTACGAATTAATCAATTAGTAAGTTGATTCTTTTTTTTCATCAAATGTTGTATCATAAATGTCCAAATTACCTTATAACTTTACAAATTACGGATGCTATCTATTTAGGTTAGATAGTATTTAAGTTAAAGAAGTAGTTACAATGCCAAAACTCGGTGAATTTCTTGCTTAAGTTGGTTCAATTGTTTAATTGATATTCTTATTATAATACATAGCCTTATATTACAATAATAAACTTCTTGAAAATTAATTACTTCATGAAATCATTACAATGTATTATCCTGAGTTAAAAAATATAAAGCTTACAATATTTAATAAATTGGAATTTAAAGAGAATGTTGATAATGATCTCAAAAGTATTATTTAAGATTTTATACCTAAATATAACTTTTTATTTGAAAGAGCAAAAGAGAAATGTAGACTTAATAATATTATATATGAAATTTCAAGGATCTAATTTATTATTTAATAGCACTTTGGAGATTAAGTCTTATAATAGAGTCATTCTTTTGGAGGAAAACTGTAAAACAATTATTTTGAATTTTTAAATTGTAAAGAAACTAAGAAATTAGCGATCAAACCAGATACTTCTATAGATTTAGAGAATGGTTATCACTTATTAGATCCTTTGGAAATATTATCAAAATAGACTTGATTTATTTGATTTTTATTTTCTATAATATAGAATAATTTTATTTCTAAATGTTAATAAAATTTCTTTATTTCTTTTTATTTCTTTCATTAATTATATTAAATTTAATTAATTTTTAATCTAATGAATATGATATTCTATACTTCTATTTTAATATTTTTATTATTTTATGAATACATACAGATTTTCTTAAGAAAAACAAATATTAATAGATTTTTAATTATAAGTATTATTAATATACATTTTTAAATGCTTTGTTGATTAAAAATTAAAATAAGTTTTTCTTTTTATTCATTTTATCATATTTAAAATTGGAATTAACTTTTTGTTTCTTTGAATTATTTATAATATTTATTTTGGCAAATAGAATTGATTACCATTGAAGATATATTCGAATAGCTAAATCATTCATACCGATATCTTATTCATGTAACCCCTTTGATTTTTTCAATTACTTATGCTCTCAATCTTTGCTAGATTATGAATATGACATTTGCCCTTAAATTGAGAAGAATTAATCAATTATTAAATTATTATGGCTCATAAGAAGTAATAAGGTTAAGCAAAGCCAGGAGTAAAATTTTAGGATCAACCAGCAAGTATCTAGTAAATGGAAAACAAACCATAAGTAATTTACAAGAATGTAACGGAATAAAGAGATCAAGCATTAAAGTAATTTAATAAAGTAACAGCTTTGATTGAATTCATGTATAAACATTATTTAAAACATATACTGCATCAGATCCTTAATGTATAAGGAAAGACACAGCCTAATCTTTAAAATCCTTACTTGCATTATTAAGAGATTTTATGTAAGTGTTGAATATAGGGACTTTTGAGGATAAGAATTCATTTTATTATCTAATATATAATGGAAAAATTTATATTTTTGATATTTGTAGAGTTTTGAGAAAAGTAAATAAGTTCAGTAGACAGGATTATAATAGTTATGAGAAACTGATTCAATAAGCAAGGGAGATTTTTAAGAAGATAATACATTAAATCTACATACGTACTTCGTAAACCAATTTTAATTAGCAGGAAATTCAGAATCCCCTTCAAACCTAAATTATTAGATATGATAGCTATTGATTAAGCAAAAAAGAAAATAACTAGTATGTCGATATTTGGAAAATCAGTGCAAACGCAGTCAATGTATCACTAACTTGTAATGATCTTAATAATACAGGAATTGGGTAGAAAATAGGAGCAATAGTTACAATTAATGGATTAAAAAGAAATTAGAAATATTATTTTGCTGTTGCAGCTTATGATGGTACTGAGGGTGTATCAAATGGAATAGGAGAAACAGGAGATGAAATTACAACAATACATCCATTACCGTTACCTTTATTAGCATCATATTTATTTAAAGTAGCCTATTAATTATCTAATTTTGATATTTGTGAAGATGCAGCTGATTTCTGTATAATGTAATTTACTGAAAATAGTGAATTTATTGACCGTTAATTACATAATGAACTTAATCCTATACATGTCAAACGATTACTCTAGTAGAGAATTAAATCAGTAAGTTTAATTGAAATATAAAATTTGACAGAAACATTATTAATTAAAGCCAAATGTTTATAAAAGAAATTACGAATATAGGAACTTAAGCTTAGAAACATATAGTATTATTATAAATTTGCAACTATTTATTACATTCATTAGAAACATCATTAAGTTGTAGACATTTTACAGTTGCCAAAAGAATTGTAGCCGAATTGTATAATATGTTAGAATCATTCTAGTAAGAAAAACCATTATAAGTATTTTATCTTTTTACTTAAATCATAAATTATAATAGTTGAAATACCTAAATAATATTGGGATGCCAATTTACGTATATTATCAGCTAAATTTACCTATGAAATATTAAAAGTATGTATGAAACTAAATGAAATAACTTTAGGAAGAAGAGTTAATTATAATCGTTTAACAGAAAATGGTATTATGTACCTAAAATTATTATGATTGAATAAGTAGAAGACGCTAAAAAGGATACCAAAAAAGATGTCAAAAAGGAAGGTAAACAATAATAAGCTGATGAACCTGTATAACCTCCTAAATAAGTACCTAAATTGATAAGAGAATTATATTAAATGAATTCTACTGTTTAAGATTACTTACAAGAAACTCTATTGGTCTGAACGATGAATTTGGTGATTATATTCCTTCATTTGTTGAAAAGTGGAAAGAACAAATTAATTAATTGATACCCTATATGGAGAATCCCTCTGATTCAATAGACAAGATATTTAGTGATAGATTAATAAGATTCATCAGTGATTTCAGATTCAGAAAGTGATAAATCCTCAATTAAAGATATTATTGATATTAATGTAATAAATGAAATTGTTAATAAAATTGATTCTTCAATTAGTAAGAGTATTAATGTTCCAATTAGTTTCAGATTAGAATTGTATTATTTATAAATCAAGATTTATAAGATGAGATTTGTTCAATTATTATTAAACTTACAATAAAAATATTTTATGAAATATTTGTCTTGTAAAAATAAGAAATATTTTGATTTCTATGAAAATAGGCCTCATCATGATTTAGTAAGGAATAAATACTTTTTACTTATTCCTCCTTTCTGTTAATTACTCAAAGAATAAGGTTTATAATATCTAATCCAAGCAAAAGAGAGTTTATTAAAAGCAATTAGTGTAATAAGAGGAGAAGCTGTTTTATTTGAATATAATAGAAAATCAGTAGACATTCTAGTTGCCATGGCTGAGATTTTATAATTCATTTAAAAAGTGTGGAGAGAAGCTAAAGTAATGACTTTTAGTGGATCATATTAACAAAGAATAATATCTAAAACTCATCGTTTTTAAAATTACATATGCAATCATATCAAAAATGTTTGATAACTTCATTAGAAGTAGCAACTAAAAATGATGTTAATGCAGTATTTATAGATGAAGGCACAATTGTTACTAAATTATTATATAATCCAGTTGCACATGAATTTAAAGTACTTTATATTTTAGTTTGACTTAATAAGGAAAAGATTATTATTTCATTATCAAAAGAAGAGAAAGATAAATTAATTATCTCAGATGAAAAGAATGTTGTATATGGAAGCATATATATTACTGATACAACATCATAAAAAAACATTTTATAAACTAATTGAATAACTTGGATTCTATTTCTTTTAAAAACCAAGTATAATAATTATTTAAATATAGGTTCAATCTATATGTAAAATGACTAAGCTTCTGAAAACATAAAAAAAAAGAATGAAGCATTTAAAAAATCAGAATCTTTTATGTAAGAATAAAATGAGCTAGATATACTTTCCAAGTATGAAGCAATAGTTCCAGAATTAACTCACGATAATATTGCTATTTTAATAAATTTATTCAATGATTAACGAGTTTTGTCTATTAATCATAATTATTTAGCAATTTAAGATATTTCCATCATTAAAAATATAGATGAGATTATTAATAAATTTTAAATTAATATTAATTATATAAATTAATAAAATGATAGAATTTGGCAATAACATATAAATATGTGAATTTTCTATTGAATTTAAATTGAATTATGGATAACTTATTAGAAAATAAATGCTCTAAACATGATTAAGAGTTTTTAGCAATCAGGATTGTTTAAGATAATAAAGATCAGAATAAATATTTATGTCCTCAATGTTTAATTGAACTTATTAACCCTAAAGAGTTGATACTAATTAGTGAAGCAAAGATATAAATTTAGAATAAAAAAGGCTAAATATCTAAAAACATTGAAGAATAATGCAAATAAAAAATAAACTTAGCTACTAATCTAAAAAATAGTATATAAGAATTAAAAGGTCCTTTAGAATAAATCTTTACAAAAATTAATGAAGAAATTGATTAATTCAAAAACTAAACTGAGAAAAAAATATAAGAAAGTGAAATAATTACTCCTGAAAACCTAGACACAGATTTAGTATTTTTAACAGATGAATAAATTAATTTGACATAATCTAAAACATATGAAAATGATTTATAGTTAATAAAGTCATTGCTCAATTAATTTTAATTTTGTGAGATATCTAGTCTTTCAAAATAAAAGATAATTGAAATCATTTCTAAATGCTATGACATTTCCAAATTACAAATAGAAACTGAAGATGAAAGAAATTAGAAAACTAAAGTATTGATTATATTAATTTTTAGCAAACACCATCATTAAAGTTTCTATGTTAGAGTCATGATTAATAAATTATTATGGTCTAACTTGATGAAAATAGTAAATTTTAATAATACTCATGTGTTTAATGTATTTCAGAAAAATAGGGAAAATACATAACACTTCGTTAATTATAATAATCTTTAGAAGCTTACAATTAATGTTCTGAATAATCATTAAAATATTGTTAATAATTAAGAGAGCAACATACAAATGAAATAATAAAAATTTGTAAGTAATTATGTGATAAATATATTTAAACCATTAATTTACAGATTTAATAATTAGAAATAAATTTAAAATCTTTTGAAAAGATAATTGAAACAAATTTATAATTTAAGGATTAAAATATCTATTAATTTGAATAAGAACAATTATTATAAAAATTAGAACCAATTTATATGGATTAAAATCCAAACCATTATTCTAAAATAATTGAAAAATAATTAGAATTAGATAAACAATTATATGGCAAGTTTGAAGAATAAATGTAAGAATTAAGTAAGTTTGAAATTAGCAGTTCAAATTTAATCAAGCTTGAATAATTAGATCATTAACTCATATTAAAAAAAATAGAAAATTAAATTGGATAATAAAAATCAAATTAGTAAAATATATAGAATGATTAAGAAGTTGTTAACTTAGAAAATGAAATAAATAGTTTTTTATCAAAAAAATTGAAATAATGTATTTTAAATGAATAATTTTAATAATTATTCCAAAATCGCGATAAATTATAAAATGATTAATAATAATTAATTTAAAATATAGTTGCAATATAAGATAAATTAAAAGAACAATAGAAGAATTGTGCAAAAGAGCAAGGAATTTCATAATAGTATTATGAGAATAAAATAATATATTTAGAAAGAATAAAAACCTAACTTAATTCCACTTCTTTTAGTGATTAAATATAGAAAGAAACTTAAATTTAAACAAATGTGACAATTGCAAGTTTTGATAAGGAAATAAATGAGGTTTCATATTTAAATTTAATTTTAGTATAAGTAAAAAATCGCTCAAAATTTATAAAATATTGCTCAACTTGAAGAAAAAAATTAAGCACTTTAATAAGACACCTTATAATCAATATTATAAAATTCTTATTAGCCTTAATTTAATAATAGCTATAAATTGGCAGCCTATTTAGTAGTTAATCACAAATTAGTTTAATGTAATAATTTAATTATACTAATAGCGCCTTAAGGAGGATTTGGATTAGCTGTTATGCAACCTCCATTACCTAAAGATAATGTAACAACTTTCGTTTTTAAAATAAATGTATGTTTATGTTTTATTAAGAAATGTAATTCATGGGCAGGAGTTGGAATTTGCCACTTGTAAACTGCTTAAGGTTTTAGTTATGATATGAACGGAAATTATACATCAACAAATCACAATACTTACCTTGCATGCGCTGGTGGATATAGAATTTCAAGTTATTAAGGTTATACTACTGGAAATAATTTTACTTATGGTGAAAGCAGCATTATTCGTTGTTAATATGATCCAAAAAATAATAAATTAAATTTATTAAATATCAATGTATAAAATATAATAATTAGGATGGAAAAACCTTGTAGATGGATATAGCTAATAATAATTTAGAAATGTCCCCTTGTGTAATGCTTTATGGAGCAGAAATAGAACTAATATGAAAAGTATAAATAAAATTTCCTAAACAAAGATAGCATATAATACTTATATAATTTTTAAAGGAATTTCATATATTAATAAAATATTATAATTTTAAGCATAAATATTGCAAGAACAAAGTTTAATCAAACATAATTATTTAGGTTATTGCGATGATAATATGCTTTATTAATTTTCCATAGTTTATAATGGCTTGTGAATTTCCAAAAGTAGTAAAATTGTATGATGTCTTGAGCATTTTTAGTTTTAATCTTAAATTAGGAAATAATTTACAAGATGGGATAAAAATTCATATTATTTACCATATCTGCAGACTCCACATTCAAATATAGCTATTTCTTTAGGTGTCCATGTTTCTAATATTTATAAATATTAATAATACCAAATGGAAAATCATTTCTTAATGGAGATATTAGAATATCTAAGATATCTTATTAAAGCAGAGAATAAACATTGATATTTGTTGATTATTATTGTTATTATTCTGTTTATTCCTGATTAGGTGAATCATTATCTAGGATCTTCTTTTTTCTTCCAGGTTTCTTTTCCTTGAAATTATAATGTGATATAAACTTGTTTAAGTTCTTTTTTTGAATCAATCAATCCTTTTTCTTTCATAAACTCTACTAATTTTTGATCACTCTTATAATATAATTGGACAACCACACTTAGAAGACTCTCTAATGCATTTACCCACAATGGTTAAGTCCCTTTTAATCTATATTATCCTCCTTATGGCAATTTCTTTGTGAATATGAGTGGAGTGATTGAGTTTGGCGGTAAAAACTTACTATATAAAAATAATAAGAAAAAATAAATGATGTATATATGGGTTAGAATTGAGATTGAATTGAAAATGGTATTACTCTAATAATACTTCGTCAATTAATGCATCTGCATTATTATTCTTTTTGTATTGATTTATTTATTATGTTGGAAGCTCTAAATATCCGGTACTAAAATAATAATAAAGGAAGGAATTAAAATATAAGAGTGGAATATGAAAAACTACAATTGTAGTCTTTAAAAATTGAAATAGATTGATATTTACATACATATGAGAGCCTTATCGAGCAAGATGTTTAATTTATTAGATGACTTATTTTTGCTATTCATTAACTATAATGGAATTGCATTACAAATCAATTACTAAATTAATGTGGATACTAATACTAGCATTTTCATCACTTCTATCCATTTTTATTACTTTTCTAATGCTTAAATCGACTCCATTTATGTCTTCATATTATGTGCAATTATATTTAATTTGTAGCTTTTCATCTGACTGATTGTTCATTACTTGCTACCAACTTAATATAATCAAAAGCAGACCTCTTTAAAAATGAATTATGCTTATTGAAAATAATTAATTTGTTTTCATAATAATTCTAAACCTTTAAATTCTAAAGCACTGAATAGGTACATTCCTAATTAGTAAACATTATCATAATATTTACTAAGTCATTCATTAAAAATTAATTCATTTTCCATTTATATTTTCATTTAATTTTCAATAAGTCTCCCTTTATTCAATTTCATGTCCCAAAACCTTAAATTCTATTATCTTGATATTCACTCTTGAATAATATGAATAATGAAATCCTAATAAAATTTTTAAGGATCGATAATAAAATAATAATAATGATGAAAAATCTTGAATCATAAAGAAATTGCATTAGTCTATAAATATTAGAAAACTTGGAATAACTTTAAAACATCTTTCTCTTTAGCATACTTTATTGAGTGAAGATTAAACTAATCATTTTAATAATTATCGAATGACTGAGTAAAATGAGGTTTTGATAATATCATTGACATCTTTAATTGGCACTATATATCAATAAAAAGGCAATGTCCTTTTTTGCTTTATAATATTAGAATCCTCTGTTATCAAAAACTAATAAATTGTACAATATATTTATCAGGGCTACATTATAATGAATCTTGCTACGAATAAGTATGTCCATTAGTTCTTACATTTCTTTCTTGTTAAGAGTATAGAAGTTCTTACATTTCTTTCTTGTTAAGAGTATAGAAGATAATATATTATTATATTTAAAATTGTATACTATTTTTATCATTTAGTAAATATGATCATTGATTATTAGCTAAACTAGAACAATCTTTCTAAATATTTTAGTATTTATATATTGTCTAAACTTTTAATAGAGCTACAGTGATCTTTTATTTTAAATATTTCACATGATTTAGTAATATTCTATAAATGAAATTTCATCATAAAATCATTAGTGATATTTAATGTAATATATATATATCTAATAAAATCACATGAATACTTATTTTTTAATATGTTAATATCTAGATATACTATATTTATTAAATTTATTAGTAAAATGAATAAAGATGAGTATTTATGTTTAAATATATAAAATTTTATTTTTTGATAAAATAATATAATTATAAAAATAGAAATTTTATTTTTGATTATAAAAATTTTATTTATTTTAATCATTCCAATTATTGATTTGTTAATATATTATATTTTCTATTTACACTATTAATACTTATTTTCCTTTTATGTTAAATTTAATCAATTGAAACAACTTCATGATTGTGTCTATCACTTCTTTATGGTGACATATTACCAGAAACACTATTTGATTTTTTCCTATTTTTAATATTTCTATTTTTAACTTTACCAAACGTCCCTTCAAATCTTCTGGATTTTTCCTGTGTTAAATCCAAAGAATGATCATTATTATAATCTTTTGGTTTATAAACATTTCCTTAAGTTTCGAATGTTTAGAAAGCATTATCTTTAAATTATTGATGTAGAAACGTAGGAGAAGATTCAATTAATGGTTTTTAATTATTTGCTATATTTTCTTACTCAATAATCTAATCATCATTTAATAAATTATTAAACATTTACTATTATCCAAAAGAGATTCTATTCGGTTTGAGGAAGTTTGGTTCTTTTTATGAGATTGTCTAATTTGGAGTATCTTAGAAATTAGTAGGTTAAGATTAAGCATCTGATTCTGTTTTGATTAATTTATATTAATAATTGCAACTATTTTACATAGCCAATTTAGTGATCTTTTCTTTTAACTGATCTTTGAGTATATTAGTTTTCATCAATTTCTCACTCAACTTATTTGAAAGTTAGGAAGTAGATGTGAGTTTTGTTGATGATAAATATTAACTTTAGTTTTATTCTTGAACTCGATTAATAAGGGATTTTAAAGGATCTATATCAGTTGTTACAATTTTCTTTATCATTGTTTAAAACTTTTCATTACTTCCTTATTTAAGAGTATATTTTTAATCAGATGAATAGTATGATTTATTATTACTAATAGGTTATTACTCAGAACATTATGTTTATGTCTCTGTAAAATATTAATTAATTATCTGAAGTACTTTTGTTAGTAAAGTAGAGTATTATAAAGTATCAAACATTTACAAAAACTTATCTTTGTTTCCACATCTTTAAATAAAAAGTTTGTTTAATTAATGATTTCCATGTACAATTGACAGAAAGAGAAATAGATTACATTACAAATTTTAATCATATAGATCTGTTTTGACTGAAAAACTATTAGTCATAGGATTTTTTGCATTAGGACTCAAGTAAATAGTATTGTTCATTCCCTAATATAATTAAATTAAGTTACAATCGAAGTGTCTAAAATAAATGAATTGCCATATTATTTTTTCATCCTATAATTATTTTATTAATACAATGGATTTCAAATCTCGTTTTAAGGGAAAGATGACTATAATGAATAAAGATGGAGTAATAGGTATGGTAAACAAACCTTCAATTCCTATTGCAAAAAATAACTAATACTTAGCTTCATCTGATGAAATATCACCATCCATTTAGAAACTTGGTCATAACACTGAAGGAATAAGAGAATCTAAATCTCACATTTTCACCAATATCTAAACATCACCTAATTAAGGAAACTCAACGAATTATGCTTAAAAGTTTTCTAATGCTGGCTCTTAAGTTGTTAAATAAAATCATATTAAAACAGAACATCCTTATTATTTTGATGATCCTAAGAAATAGTCTAATTAATATTAATTTAGAATGCAATAAGATTTTAATTAACTAGATATGGATGAATATGAAATTGTTGCCATTCCAAAAACTATGTTAGGTTAACTACGACAATAAATGAGTGTTGATAGATATGGATTAACAAGAAGCTTTGGTCCTGAGAAAAAAATACCAGTTGAGTATTTTAATTTGTTTAATTAGGTTCTCTTAACTATCTCCTTAAATTACTACTTAATGTACCAGTTATAATTAGACACCTTTACTTAAAAAACAGAATACGATAGATTAAATACTTAAACCTCCATTGAATAAGTAAAAGTCAGAGAAGATGGAGAAAAAAAATTAAACTATTTAATAAGCAGGTATTGGAACTTTAAGATACAAGTATATAAAATACATATTTAAACTAGTTCATATAGTAAAAGATGAGTTTTATATTATTATTAATAAATTTTGTTTTTAGGAATACTTTATAATCATTCAAATCACATAAATGTAGATGATTGAATGTACTACTAAAATTTAATACAAATAGTTATTTTTATTTTAATATATTTTTATAATATGAGTAAATTTTAATTATATTATATTGCATCATAATATAATGTCTAAAAGATTAACAATCTCAAAATTTAATACATTTAATACTAATGACATACCTGAATTAGATAGAATAGAAACTTATAAGACATTTTATAAAAAGAGATTTAGAAAACTCTAAGCAGATGAGAGTCCTAATTAAAAAATTATTCCTCAAAATATCCTATTAAAATCTGGATAAATTCCATTTAAAAGATCCTTTCAAAAACCAAAAGAAGATATTATAGATATTAAAAAATTGTAATTTTATATGTTAAGAATTAGTTAGATATGTGAATTATGGAGTTATAAATATAATCATGTTGTATAAAAGGTTTCTAAACTTAATAATGTGAGTGGCATTTTAGAAATTCAGAAATAATCATAAAGAAA